GTGCGTGCGTGTCGTGCGTGCATGCGTGCTGCGCGCTGCGTGTTGTGTTTATCAATTACTTGCTTACCAAATCGCCTGATTCTTCATTCTCTCTCTGTTTTTTATACTTCTACTGGCGCGAGTCATCTGCTCACCACCGTTTGTTAATTCGTTCATCGCATCCAGGTACAGATATTAGATTCTTGCGTGGTCGTTTCCGCATGGCTTCATCATGTCTTCATTTCTCATATGATTTCGCGTGAGGCTTAATAGTCATCCTTAGCAGAACAGATTGAAAAGATGGTATGAGTATAAGGATATAGGAGGTAAGTAATGAGATACTATTGAAGCGATGGAGAGGGCATGAGGAGAGGTCTTGTAACGAGATGAAGATGATGCGGAGCGAGAGATATAGAGTGGTGAGATGAGAGGGGTGGTATGGATTGTAGAGTATTTAAGAGGTAAGAGCGGGGAGCGAGATCGCAGGAGGGGTGAGATGAAGGATGAGGAGATTAGACGAGCGGGGAGGGGGGGGGAGATTGAGAGCGCGAAGGATGGTGTTGGAGAGCCGGCAGATCGGTGCTTTGATAACTTAGAGAATGCGCTGTAGGAAGTAGTATAGGACAAAGTAAGAAAAAACGAGATATAGAAGATAGAAGTGTGTGTGTGTGTGTGTGTGTGTGTGTGTGTGTGTGTGTGTGTGTGTATGTGGGTGCGTGTGTGTGTGTGCGTGCGTGTGCGTGTATGTGTGTGCGTGTGTGTGCGTGAAAGATACACAAACAGAACCGATGGAATCATTACATAATATATGAGCAGTATTGTATGATAAGGTCAACCTGGAAGGTGGATGTCGTGTTGAAGGAATCGGGACTTCTTATCGACGTCTCGGGTGTGTGTCGCACCGCTAGGGGGCGACAGGTGAGCATCTCGGCCTGGGTGAACGGTCGATGGACGAGCTTAAGGACGGTCTTACTGGTGAACTTACTCGTGGGCGCCTGGTATGTTATCACTGGCTTGTACGACTGATCCCGCCTTCCGCTCTGCACACACATAAATACAGTCAAGAGCTAACAATACCTATTATTAGGTCTTGATACATGCAGTCACAGACCTAAATATGTATGTTGCACTATTATTCGATTTGTTAATTCTCTACAAACAACTGTACATTTATTGTCCAACGCGGTGAAGTTTGCATCGCGCTAATGTTCAGCGTGTCGTCCGTATCTGTAGATGGTTTATTTAGTCATGCTTCTCACAGTTTACTACAGGGGCCGTGTCAGGCATTGCTAGCGAATACGTTGTTTTGAAAAACAAGTCCACTGAACGGAGTGTACAGAAACGAACACAAGCTGTATTCTGTTGATTACATTTATTTTTTGATTTAATATAAATAATTAAATAAATATATATATAGGCCTATATATATATATATATATATTTGTAATCTGATTTTCATGATAGAACGTGTTATTAGTTTACAACTTAGATCAGTGCAAATTTGGGCTTGCTCTGGTGTGCAAAATCTTGAAAACTTGTGCTAACGAAGTAGAACTATAACCTGCCCGCCCGAAATTATTGACAGGTAGTTGTAGCCATTCAGCGTTGCGATAACAGAAATGATTGACAGGTAGCTGTAGCCATTCAGCGTTGCGATAACAGCGTTCTAAAAAGTTGCTAAGTAACGAAATGGTCACGAAGGTTGACAATGTGCAATCGCGTACAAGCTTGACGGACCTAGCAACAATATCCAATTGGATCAGTCTAAATCAATATCCAACAGCTCGGACAGGTAGGTCGATAATTTGATATAGTGTCACGATAGTGGTATATAGCCAGTGCGCGCAGTGCATGAATTTATGCATTGCTGCGTACGCTGCTCATCACACACACACACACACACACACACACACACACACACACACACACACACACACACACACACACACACCACGCACGCACGCACGCACGCACGCACGCACGCACGCACGCACACACCACGCACGCACGCACGCACGCACGCACAGACGGACATACACACACGCACATAACGAAGCTACCGTTAATGATGACAATGTGTCATTTCAGTTTATGTAATTTCCTTGACCACTGCGTTGACGAGTGTGTAACGATGATCTCCCACGACGGGATGATGGTGACGATCGCAGCGATGACGATACCGAAACGTTCAGAGCGATGCTGAGACCATGCTCATATATTGGTGACACTGCTAACACGCCAACGATGACAGGTCTGCGACAGTATTCGGACGGCCATGTCGTTGTTGACTCGACAATGCGCAATAATTACGAATCCAGTTAGTCGAGGATATTCCCCATGTTAATTAATAACATATTATGGTTAACGAACAGCTTTTAACCGTGTACAAAAGCTGAATCAGCATAAAGAAGATCATGATGCAATGTCATTACGGTATCACACAACCGTATAGATCGACTGACTACATTCGGCAAGTGTTACCTGATAGTAATTAATACTAATTAAGTAAAGAACTAATGTTTAAATCATAAATATATAGATATAGGATTAACACCATCAAACGTCGGACATCGACGGCACTTTCCGGTTAACATAATACTTTCGTATCCATTCCCTATAAGCTCACATTTCGCAGGGTAAATACATTTGATCGAGCTTAACATCAGACTCGTACATAAATCTCCGCTGATCACACGAGTAGACGCGGGTATTTATAGTGAGTATAAATTAAACAATCAATTAAAGAATCAAATCCGACACGACTACCCGGCAGCGACTATGGCTGCGAGCCGTGTACTGATGCATCCGTGGTTACGCGTTTACCAGCAGGACGACGCGTATATGTCTTAGTAAAATAATTCAGTTAAGATAATATAATAAGATAACGTTGTACGATCCACGTCTGATAGAACGCTCTCAAAGTTGACTGTTTGGCAAATGTAGCGATGCCAACAGCTCTGACTGAGTCCAATAACGACAGTAACGCGTGGTGTTAGCCCTGCAAAGGACTTCCTAATAGTCGTTCGATATCAATATGTTATGGCTATTCCCATTAAGTTTCTCTTGTTGGAATTTGTTTGTCTCTCCATCTGTTACTGCTCTTGTGATTTGCTTGTGTCTTTCGTTGCGTCACTGGAGACCAAATCCGACAAACTCAGACACGGAGGGCGGGTCGACCATCAGCTCTTTGTATTTCTTTACGAACAGCTGCAGGCGGTTTGTATACGTGCTCTCGTTGTAGGTCTGCTTGTGATCGAGCAAGTACTTTCTTACGACCGGCTTCACCCTTAAGCACATGTTATCCGACAGTTCGGGAAAGAGGTGATGCTCCACGTGGCAGCTGACGAGAGAGTGACCGAAGCAGTAGTCGAGGATTGGATGGCGGGACAGATTCAGACACCCCGTACTCATCAGCTGCAGCCGCGGCGGGCGAGTCTCGTCCGAGTACATGGGAAGGCCGATGTGCTGAAAGATGTTGATGTGGATGTAGGGGACCGCCAGTAGCGCTCTGCCCACGTACAGCGTCACGATGGCTGCTGGCAGACTGAAGCCGCCGACGTAGCACAGCAGCGAAAGGAGCACGCCGAGTCCCGACAGCATGCCGACGAGAAAGCGTGCGAGGCGATTCCAGCGCCCCCACAGCTCCCGAATGGCGACGAACGGGGTGATAACGGGCAGCGAGACGGGCGCGACGAACATGTAGATGTAGCGCGGCAGGTGCGGGGCCTTCCACGAGCTGCTGTCGCCGAGCCCGATGACGTTCGTGTGTGGGTGATGCACGCGGATGTGCACCTCGGTGGCGATGGCGGCCGAGTACGAACCGTGGCATTCGACGAACAGCCAGCACCAGAAGCGCGCCCACGTGCGCGACCGGCACAGCGCCCCGTGCGACGCGATGTGGCCGCCCTTGTTGGCGACAATAGCATAGGCGACGCCCTGCAGCAACAAGCCGACGACGTAGTTCGCCATCCCGCCGCGAGAGAACAGCACCAGTCCTAGCGGCCACAGCAAGAGGGCGCTGATGATGATATGCGACCAGTCGACGCCGTATAGCTGCCACCACGACGTGTTCGCGACAATCGCATTAACCTGCCGTTTGAGGGCGCCATACTCGGGCTTGTCGACGTCGTCGCTGGGTGCAGCGCCGGCGTCCGTCGACGCTGCGTCGTTCGCCACTACGCGGCGCTCTGTTACGGTCATGATGACTGCGACGAACTGTACTATACTAACGACGTGTGAAGCCGGTGACGCTGTGTTCGAATATCAACGATGATGACAATGTCACACGATCGCAGCGCCTCTTCCTCTGTATTTTGCTCTTCGTGTTCGGTGTTCACGGCAAACAATGAATTCGAACTCAGATGCGCGCTGGTATGAGAGAGAGGCTTTTAGCCGAGCGATAGCTACAGCTAAGCAGCCAGCATTTACAGCAGGCAGTAACAGATTCGTCCTTGAGTCGCGGCAGAACGATCGCAGAATGCCGGAGCTAGGCTGGCGCGGCGACACAGACATTGATCATTAGATTAGGAACGTGAGCGCCATCTACCGTCCTTGGAATTTACACTTCGTACCCGCGGCCAGAACTTGGCAGCTACCGGTCAATAAAATATGTTTATTGTGCGAGGCTCTGGTGACAGATCCAATGTCACGAGTCCATTCAGTGCATTTTGTAGCTACCAGGAGGTGTAATACGTACGCGGGTATGGAAGGCCTTGAACACATATTCTAGTGTAGAGATTTCGGTTACACCGAAGACTCTATTTCAAACCACAACACACGACAGGGCGCGGCCATTTTTGAATAACTAAAAACCAGGTGACATGCAGGTGGATCGATCGGACCAGGTGATCGGAAGACCGGGTGACACCCAAATTCCACTTAAGAGATCAATGTGCACAATCAAATAAAGGAAAGGTCAAGCTATAATAAAATACAGGTTAAAAGAATAACGAGTAAATAAGTAAAACAATAATTAGAATAGAATACGAATGGGAAATTACTCGGCCAGGCAGCTGACGTAATCGGCTTAAATGCGGCACGGCGTGTAAACAAACGGCCGGTACCTGGCAGAACAGACCGGTATAAACCAGTAAACAAGCGATACCAGCTGGAATACCCCTGCTTAGTACTAGGGGAAAGGGGAAAAAGCACGTGACCAGGGAGCAACCAGGGAGTATATAAGGCGGCCGAAAAGCCGTAGAAATCAGAACGCCGGGGCAGCAGCCCCTAGGAGAACCCAGGAGCCCTGCCTTGCCTATAGGAGCACTCAGGAGCACCAAGGAGACCTGCCTTGCCTATAGGAGCCCCAAGGAGACCTGCCTTGCCCATAGGATCACTATAGGAGAACCAAGGAGCGCTGGCGGCCTCATAAGCCCTAGGATAAATAGATGAACCAAGGCGCGCTGACTGCCTAGCTCATAAGCCCTAGGATCAGGGGCGGCGCCAGGATATTTTCTTAGGGGGGGGGGCGAAACCAAGGGCGTGCACAGGAGGAGCACGCGAAGGGGGGGGGCTCTCCCCCCGAAGATTTTTGAAATTAGACCCCCTCAGATGCGTTTTCTGCGCGAGCAGGGGGGGTCCGGACCCCCTGGATCCCCCCTGTACACGCCCCTGGAAACTGTAGACTCTGATACCGTGTGTGCTTGCACTGACGGGTGGGGTCCAGGGGGTAGATTCATGATTCATCAAGCTGCGTACGCAAAATATTTTGCGTAAATCTTGTGTACGCAATCGACGTTGCTTATTATTAACACAGCTATTTAGTAAATTTTCGTACGATTTCGCGTACGCAGGCGAGGCCGTTTTAGGTGCGATTATCAGCTATATTTCGTAACTTTGCATATTTACACGAGCTGACGAGTGCCGTCACACTCGAAATTTTCGCATGGTGTTTCCGATACCACAGATGGCATTTTTTATGAGAAATTTAAATTACTTCACTAAAATAATTATTAATTACCATATACCAGAAGGCGGCGCCTTGACGTTTTTGTCATAGCTTGGCATGTTTTTCGTTATAAGGCGAGTTCGTGGTTAGCCGGTACGTGCCGCCGATTGTTTAGTTGCACACAAAGCACGCGTTAGTACGTACACACGTACGCAACGCACGTGTATGTACACACGGCGACGCCGCTGTGTATGTAGCAAGGCACGCAGTGTTACGTGCCTACGCAGCGGCGTAGTGTCCGTGCTTCATCGAGTGTTGCCCTGTACAACGAAATATGAGGGAATATCACTCCCAGCACTCCTGTAGACAGTCTAGAGCCATGTGGTTTAATACGGAAGGCGTCCCCAGTTTGGTTCCTATGGTATTTGTGTCGCGCGTGTTGGTTTATGTAGGCAGCCCCCTCACGCCTGACAGCTGACGATGGCTAGTGGATTTCACGGATTCATCAGATTTGGTCGCAGGTGCTCGGCTGCGTTGTATGATCGCAATCTACGGCTTTGCGTTACGTATCGTAGGACTCTGTGTCGCAATACTTTGCCGCAAGCGTGATGATCCGGGGCACCTATGGCCGCCTTTGTGACCCTGGCGGGGTCAGGGGCCAGGCCCTGGACAGGGAGTCGGAAGCTCTCACATGTTTGATATCTCAAAAGCACTTTTAATTGCTGACAAAAATTGTGCGGGAACCAAGGAGAAATTCCAGTGATGACCCGGGGGGGGGATCCAATTATGTAGGATATTCTGGTATGTGCTGCGAAGTTAAATGGGGGGCGGGGCGGCTATGGACTAGATCTCGACTGAAAATTGGTGGTCTCTGGAACTAATGTTTGTGATGTGGTATGTCTGGGAACCGGCTATGTTCGAAATATGGGGGTCTCCGGAACTAGCTAGTTTTCGTTGATTCATGCCTATGAAACTGGCACCGTTTAAAGGGGTGTCTCCGGACTGGGGGCGGGGGAACAGTGATTTGCTTAACTATGCTGTGCACTTGAACCAATAATTGTTGTTTTTGTAGGGATTGAGAAACATGACGCACGGAGAAGAATGCATGAACGCACGCAGCACACACCACACACGCGCGGTGGCGCCATCCACCTGGAACTAAACTATGATAGATGGGCGGCACTCCGGAGAGAGATACCTCCGCCAGCGACATCGCATACGGCCATCGACTCAGACCCGAATAGCCCGGATATAGCAGCATACATGTATGCTCGCTGCGCCTCAGTCTAGCAGCAGCGGTGGGGCTGGCTCGGCTCGCTGACGCCTAAGTTATCTGATCGGTCAGCCACACCGCCCTCACGCCGCTAACGTTGTACCGACGCCACAGACTGGATCAATAACCTCCTCACTCATCTGTGGGCGGAGGTAAAATAAGTAGCATGTTAGCGTATTATTAGAGGTGGTGGCCGGGGGGGTCTGCGTTATTATTATTAATTTTAGTTGTTACACATTCAGTTGTGTCTACCGGTATACCTTTCCGCGAGAACCAGCTATCGCAAATGATGTGTCCCAACTTGGGCTTCCCAGGAAAGTAACATGATATCGATTTAATTTAAGCACGGCGCTTTATTGGGTATTGAATTTTTCGACACTTTAATTTTTTCGATTTTTGTATGAAGTGGTCAGTGTGTAGGCTACATACTCATTTTTGGGCGATCCCCTATTATTGCAAGATCTTTCTTTCCTGCTTAACAACAAGCCTTACCTTTTCTTGCAAATGTGGGGGGGGGGTGCCCCACCTCACCTATTTGCAAGACATTTGCAGATGTTTCTTTGTTCTTTTTTTTTTTTTCTTTTTCTTGCCAATGATAGGGGCGACCGCCCGCTGTCCCCCCCCTGTGCGCGCCTGTCGTAGGATCAATAGGAGAACTACGGCCGGAGTACTGACTGCCTCATAGGCTCATAGCCATAGTATCATTATCATCTGCTCAATGCCTATATTTTCAGCTACTGTTAATTAAAGTCACAGCAAACAGTCATTCATCTTTCTCCTCATTCTCTTCCTCTTGTCATCAAGCCAGATGCCATATGTATCTATCCTCTATTTATACTGACAACTTGTACTATAGCTGAGCAGGGCCGTAGGCTGAGCAAATTCCTAGGGAGGGGGGGGCAAAATTTAATGACTCAACTATGTAATGCTGAGCGACGGGCGCAGCTCTTGATCGACGTTCATAGTGTGGTAGGGGTGGGTCTGACACAAGGCTTTCACGGATAAGTGACCAACAAAATTGTGTTAGGATTATTTACGATTATTAGCTAAGCTTTTTTTAAATTTTGCTCCAAAATCTAGGATCGCCCCCCCCCTCACAGGCTACGGCCCTGCTAAATTTCTCATATGCTGCTATATTAAGCACATGCTACACGGGAAGATTTTCATTTCATTTTCGCGTTTGTGGTGACGTTATTACCTTCTGTTTGAAGTCTTGGTTATAGGTAGAGGTCGCTTCGAGTGGATGACTTGTGGCATGATAAATCTCCTTGGGTCTGCGTTTTCTCGGCTGGACCTATGAAACAATGCAGCCGGTGGTGTCAGTACATAGATCCATGGAAGGAGGTAATAGTTATTTAAGGTTTCCAGAAATAAACCACGAATAGAATAAGAGGGATGGGACGGGTCGTTTTGTTCCATCATTTATTGCTTACATTGGACACTGGAATAACCTACTATACACATACTAATCAATGAATTTGCCGTATTGCTTCAATGTGCTATATAAAGTTGTAAGTTTCGGAGGTATGTAAGTGACTAGCCGTTGCCTGAATTAGTCTGTAAATTGTCAATCTACCTTGAATGTTACAAACGCTTCTCCCGTAGTGGTTCTCATATCCATGGATGCGTCCATGTCCGTCTGTTTAATCTGTGGCCGCAAGCACGGTCTCTGTGGCTGATAGGGCCATGCCGGAAACGCCTGCATAAGAGGACAAATTACTACGAATAAATTTTATTAACGAATAAATTACATAATAAGGCCTGCATTACAACGACAAATTATCAAGATAATTTCAAGACTTGAGCAAAATTGCACAGCAGCTTTAACTGAAAGTGCCGTCAGTATTGGAATGGTTGGAAGACGATAGAAAGACTATGTACGAGACAGCATTGCTTTAGCGTGTTAAGCGTGACGCACCCTATAGCTTTATGAGGGTCACTTTGCGGGTTTCCCTTGAATAACCCGTATAATATACAGATTTTGCTGTAAACTTTTATTTAAAAAATGTAATTGATATTTAGGTCACTTTTCGGTAGATA